GGTGGGTGCTCCTCGGGGATCTCTGGGTGCTCAGCATCCCGCCTGCGGGTGGGTGGGAGCCAGGTGTTGCTCCAGTTGCCCCAGCAGGTCCCCTGGGTACTGCGGGCACCCCCCGAGTCCCACCGCGCTGGGCTGCGGGCGCTGGGGTGCCAGGGGGGCCCTCGGGGTGCTGCACTTGGTTTTAATTAAAACTCTCCCTGTGATTCTGCTCTGGCTCGCTGCATCCCCTGCTCTGCCAGCTTAATCCACGGGCTGCTTCCAGCCAAACTTGACAGAGGAATCCAGAGCGCCTCAGGCTCCTCCTTCTTGCCTAAAAGCAATGAACCTGCCCTAAAATAAAACTAAATAAAATGCATAATGTATATCTTCCCTCTTCCTAAAGAGGGGAAGAAGCTGGCGCAGCCCAGCCCCAGGAGCCGCAGAGCACATACCTGTGCCAGGGGAAAGTTTGTGCTTTCCTGCTCTTGTGCAGCCCGGGCTGGGGGTCCCCTGGCCCTGGGCACGGGCTGGTTGCACCTTTGGCTCTGTCCTGGGGCAGAGCGTGCGGCCCCAGGAACTCCTTCCCGGCTGAAAGGGGGAAACTGAGGCACGCGGTGGCCCCGCTTACCCTGGGAGGCAACAGGCACCTGGGATGGCTCTTGCCTCTGCCCCGTGGTGGGATCGGTGTCCTCAGGTTGAGCCTGGCAGCAGGGCTGGGAGGTGTGGTGTCCCGGCAGAGCCGGGATGTGGGGCTGGGGTCTGGGTCGGCATCTGATCCGCTCCAGCCTCAAGTCCCGCCGTGCCGTTCCCCAGGTGCAAGGGGCTCCCAGGGGCTGGGCTCCCACCCTCCCAGCCTCCCGCAGGGACGGAGCAGCCTTTTGAAGCTTGCTTTTTTTTTTTTTTTTTTTTTTTTTTTTCCCCCCCCTTCTTAAGCTGATTATTCTGTTCCTCTTCCAAATTGGAAACAGAAACTGAAATTTCCCATGAAACAAATTCTGCCACCGCCTTCCCCCCCTTCTTCAGCTGATTATTCTGTTCCTCTTCCAAATTGGAAACAGAAACTGAAATTTCCCATGAAACAAATTCTGCCACCGCCTTCTCCCTGGGGGGTAGAAAAAGAAAATGAACATTTCAATTAAAACCATTAGAAGACTCTGCAGTGAAAACTGGGAGAGCTGAAGCTGCTTGTGCTCAGCTTGTTGGTTGGGGTGGTGCATGGCTGGTGGCTCTGGCTGTGGGGTGATGTTTGGGGGGCCAGAGGGGAAGGTGTTGTGCTGTGAGTGAAGGGGTGGCAGAGCCCCAGGTCTTCCTCTCCCTTCAAGATGCTCTTTTCCTTCTGCTTTGTCTTCCAGCAGAGGGGAAAGTGCATTTTGCTGCTGCCTGCACCAGCAGCATCACAGCCCAGTGTCTCCTGAGCTCTCTGTTCTCTGCCCAAGGCTTCCCACCCTACTGGAGTGGTGCCTGGGGGGTGGCTTCTATGGGACCCCCACCCTGGTGGTAAATGGATGGTGCAAATGGATGGAGCATGGCAGGGTGCTCCTCCCTGAGGAGATGAAGCCAGGGAAGGGGAAGGCTCCCTGAGCTGGTGTAACCTGAGGCGAAGGAGGAATTTGTCAGGGCTGGGTGAGAGGAGGAAGCCTTGCTCGAAACAATAAAAGGAGCTCATTGACTTTGCCAATGTTATTCTGAGCTGGGAAAATATTATTGCAGGGCAAGAATTGAAGGAGACGACGGTGCTTTCCCGGGCGGGACCTGGCGATGTGGGAGGACCTGCGATGCTGGGAGGGCACAGGGAGGAGGGTACCCTCGGGGAGATGGGGCTGGAGACACCCCTGGTGCCAGCTCTGCTGGTGCTTTATCCTTCCATGTCACTAGAATCACCAGTTTGGGCACTGGGACTGCCCTTGAATGACTTGGTGGGGATGGGAACTGTGTGTGATGGGGTGGAGGTGGCTGTCCCAGCCCTGGGGATAGACCCTGTCTCCCTTGCAGATCCCAGAAGAGGCATGTCCCACCAGGACAGGGATATTGTGCCACTGGCCCCCTCCTTGCTGGAGGTGACAAATGTCCTCCCAGCAAGAGCAGGGCTTGGAACCCCAGTGTCCTGGGCTGCTGGCAGCTGGGCTTGTCCCAGTGCCACGTCCTCTCCCATGGGGACAAGGGGGATGCATGGGCTGGGGGTTTTCCTGGGGTCAGCAGCAGCGGCTGGCAGCCGTCCCCGGCAGAGGGTGTCTGGGGACATGGCTGCCCTTATCAATGGGGCTTTGTCTTCCTCCTCCTCCGCCCAGAGGTTGGGCTGGGTTCGGGTGGGTGCTGGGATGGGGTTTCAGAGCTTGGTGAAGCTGAGCCACTCCCTCTTGCCCTCTCCCTCCGCGGCAGCTGGGTGGGCGCCACTGTGACGGGGTTTTCGGCTTGCTGACCCTGAAAGTCATTTCCCACTGGGAGCCAGTCATGCCACTGCCCCCGCAGTGGTGTCACTGTGAGGGTCTCCTTGGCATCCTGTGGGATTTGGGCTTGGACCTGTTTCGGGAGCTTTGACCACCAGACCGTGTTATTTTCAGTGCCGGGAGGTGATGTCTGCCACAGGGATGCAGTGTCCCCATGCTGGTGCCATTCCCCATGCGTTGTCCCCGTGCTGTGGGGGGGAGGAAGCCTCCTCGACAGCAGGGTCTGATGGCAGCAGGCTTTGTGTGGCTGGTTTCCCCACGCCTGTGATTGCTGGGTGCCTGCAATTGTGTCCCAGGTTGGCACTTATGGAGTGAGGAACCCTCTTTCTCCCTGTGAGGGGTGCCCAGAGGCAGGGAACCCATAGGGCACCCCTCTCCATTATTCCTTGCCATGATGCCCCTTGGCTGCAGCATCTTCTGACAGCTGGGCCTCAGCTGGGGGGACCCCAGGATTGTGAGAGGACACTTAGGTGTGGGACATTATCCATCACTTTTCCCTCCTGTCCTCACAGTGGGAGACAGCTCGGGGCAGTGGGGCTGAACTGTCCCAGCAGGGTGAGCTGTGCGCCGGCATCTGGGGGACCCCGGTGTCTGCAGCAGATGGAGGGACGTGGGGGGACCAGGACATCCCCTTGGCTCAAGGCGAGTGTCCATGGCTGGAAGGGGACACTTGGGGCAAACAGTGCTTCTGCAGGTCTTTGGGGTGGGATGGCTTCTCATGATGGTCCCCTCCCTCCCCAGAGCTTTTGGGCACCAACCGCTCTGCCCTCTTCTTTGGCCAGCGAGGCTTCCTGGGCTTCCGCTGCCTCTACCTGGATGAGTACCGAGACCGGCTCTTCATCGGGGGGAAGGATGTGCTCTACTCCCTGCTCCTGGACAGGGCCAATGCGGATACCAAGGAGGTGAGCTGGGTCCTGTTGAGCACCCTGGGGTCTCCACTGACACCGTGATCCCCTGTGCACCTTTTGTTCCTACAAGCAGAGGAGTTGCCGTTGGGAGAGTGAGTGCTCCCCATCCCCATCTGGCCACCCCCTTCACAGGCCAAATATACAGCTGAATGCCTTCAGAGACATGGAGATACAAGCATCCATCACAGCAGTGAGCTGTGTCAGGGCTCAGCTGGCATAGCCCCCAGACTCTCCTGGCTCGGTGGGAAAGGTGACAGACCAGAGCAATGATGCTGAGCAGTGCTTTCCCTCCTCCCTCATCCTCTGCATTATGACTTCTTGTTTTTCAAACATGGCTCTGGGCTGTTTCAAGCTGAAGAAAGTGGAGAAGGAAATGAAGTGCCCCCTCGATGTGCTGGGTCACTGCGATGGGGTCAAGGGCTTGTGTACCCAAGCTGCCCTTGTTCTGAGAGCTGCTGAAGGCTGTGGGGGACTCTAGCTGTTCCCCAACACCCTTTTCCCACATCACCCACAAGCCTGACATCTTCCAAGCCAGTTCCACCCAGCCCAGTTGCAGGCTGTGACTGTTGGGGTCCATCTCCCCAGGAGCAAGGGTCCTGCTCCAAGTCCCAGGGTGGGAGCTCTGGCCTTTGGGGAGCTGTTGGTGCCTCTCTCGGTCCCCGTGGTGATGGAGAGATTAGGGATGTGTATTTTCAAGTCTGGGTCTTTTGTGTTTCAGATCTACTGGCCACCCCTCCCTGGGCAGACAGAGGAGTGTTTTCGGAAGGGGAAGGACCCAGAGGTGAGTCTCATGCCATGTGTGCTCTGCTTCAAGCTGGGGGAGGTGCCCTGGTGCACTTGGGCTGTGCTGTGTTGTCCCATCAGGGATGGCTCCATGGGGCTTGTTAATGCTGGATCAGAGCAAGAGATCATCCTGGTGCATGAGGGAAACTGAGGCAGGGAGTTGATGACCAAGCCTGGCCACAAGAGAAGCTTGTGCCAGATTCTGGGAATCTCATCTGTGGGGCTCAGCTCAGCCCCATGGCTGCAGGGCAGAGCCAGTGTGTCCCAAATGTGGCTGCAGCCGGCAGGCAGTGATAGCAGGGCTGGGGGGAGCCACAGAGCCTGTGCAGTGCTCAGGACCCCAGTGGGACAGGCTGGCCTCTCCTGGTCGCCCTTGATGGAGGGTTCAGTGACCTCACTCCCCAAACCTTACCCCTCTGCATTCCCCCTGCCCCAATATGAAACACGACAGGCAGGGGAAGAGTCCCCAAGGCTCCCCCCGCCCCGACTAATTACTCCCTGGAGCCCCCGTCCCACTCTGTGTGTTTATTTTACAAGCTCTCACCGAAAGATCCAAGCCAGGGCAGGCTCAGTTTTTTATTTTCTTGAACTTGTTTTGGTTTGTTGAACTTACTATTTTAGAGGCTCTTTCTAAAGGGAAAATAAACAGCAGGGAGGCTGGGAACCCCTGGGGCAGCTCACCAGAGGTGTTTGCAGCAGACAAGGGGCCTCGTGTCACGCTGGGGGGGATGAGGGGGGACAGGCAGGGCTGGCACTGGTCAGGACGAGCTGCTGACGTAATGGTGGTGATGCTCACCATTAGCTGGGCATTAAAATGGGAGGATGGGAAGGATGGAAGCCTTTTCCAGTGGGGACTGCCAGGAAAGGCCGTGCAAGATCAGAGGTGGCAGGTCTCCAGCCCCAGGGGTGTCACCACTGCTGGTCCCCAGTAGAAGGGGACAATCCCAGATAGTAGCAATGGGGGCTTTCCTGGAGACAGCTGAGGATGCCTGTGGGTATCCGTCTCCATCTCCCGTTTCCTCCCTTTGTTTCATCCTTGGCTAAGCAGTAACACAATGGGGAAGGAAGTCCCTGCATCTGGTCACGTCCTGGGCGCTGGGCAGAGGAGGGTGCCCAGGGGTTAGTGGCTGGGTGCAGGAGCTGCTGCTGGGAGCTTGCTGGGTGGGTGCTGTGCCCCCCTGGCTGGTGTGAGCTGTGTGATGGGGTGAGCACACAGGTGCTGCTGGGCAGGGAGTGCCCAAGTGCAAGCTGGATCAGGTGTGGTTCCCCCAGCAATGCTCTTGATGGCAGGAGCCCCATCCTTTTGCAATGGGCTGGGGTGCATCTTGCACCTCTGGCACTGGGGTGAAGGCTGGGTGCAGCCCAGTGAGCCAGGACTGGGGCTTGCCCGTTGCTGTGGGATCCCCCAGGGGGCTGATGGTGGGCAAAGCACTGAGCCCCCCACAAGCCTTCCCCTCCCCTGCCGTCCCCCCCAGACTGACTGTGCCAACTACATCCGTGTGCTGCACCCCTACAACCGGACACATTTGCTGGCCTGTGGGACAGGTGCCTTCAACCCCATCTGCGCCTTCATCTACGTGGGGCACCGTGGCGAGGTAGGGCAGCACCCTGGTGGGGTGCCCAGCCTGAGCATCCCTGGCAGGACACCCAAGCAGGTTGACTCCTGCCTTCTGCCTCCTTCCCTGGGGACTTTGGGATTCCATGGGGATACTGGGTGTGCTGTTTGCTCCATGCTGACACTGGGGTGGGGCAGGAACCCACTCAGCCCCCTCCCTCACTCCCCCACCTTTCTGGCCTGGCATCACCTTTCCAGGGGCTTGTGTCCTGCCAGGAGCTGTGGTGTGGGTGGCATTTCCTTTTCTCCCAGTCTGCTGCTCATAAATCAGGGTAGGGGTGGGAAGGCAGGGTCCTCATTCCCCCCTCACAGCCTGGCACTGTGCAAGCTGCAGGAGCCCTGCCCATATCTTGGTGCCTCTGGCCAGGCTGATGGGTGAATGATGGGGCTGGTGGGTCCCTCTGGGTGCTGTGTACAAGACTTGCCTCAAAAAGTCATGGATCCAGCTTCCAGAAGGTCCCTTTGGGAGCACTGGGGGTGCAGATGCTTGCTGGTCAGGGACCGGCACCAGCCACTGTGCACCCAGGCACAGCCCTGGAGCTCACCTGCCTGTTCCCTGCCTGTTCCCCTGCCCAGCACACCTTCAGCCTGGATCCTGCCAGTGTGGAGACTGGCCGGGGCAGGTGCCCACACGAGCCCAGCCATGCTTTCGCCAGCACCGTCATTGGTGAGTTGTCTTCTTGGGGAACCAAGAGCCCCTGGGGTGCTGGGACCAGGGATGGTCCCTGTGCCAGCTGGGGCTGTCTCTCAGCCCCACTGCGGGGTGTCTTTGCCAGGTGGGGAGCTGTACACCGGCCTCACTGCAGATTTCCTGGGCCGCGATCCCGGCATCTTCCGCAGCAGGGGGACCCGCTCGGCCCTGCGCACCGAGGTGGATCAGCGCTTACTCAGCGGTAACGACCCCCCCTGCCCCTCCATGCCTGTCCAGAGGTGGTGACTCTGCCCTCTCACCCCACCTGCTGTGGCTGGCTCTTGCTCGCAGACCCCAAATTCGTGGCAGCCCACTTGATCCCAGACAATGATGACCAGGACAACGACAAAGCCTATTTCTTCTTCACGGAGAAGGTGGTGGAGGCAGACAGCAAGGAGCACACCCTTGTCAGCCGGGTGGCACGGGTCTGCGTGGTGAGATGCTGGTGTGGACTGTGGGCAGCAGGGATGGGCCAAGTCATAGCAGTGGCCCTGATGCTCCCTGTCCCTGCAGAATGATGCTGGAGGACAAAGGGTGCTGGTCAACAAGTGGAGTACCTTCAACAAAGCTCGGCTGGTGTGCTCTGTCCCTGGCCCTGGTGGCATCGACACTCACTTCGATGAGCTGGGTAAGGGTTGCATGGAGTTGAGGACCTCACCAGGACTGGTCCCATGGTTGGTGGCTTTAGAAAGCTCCTGGGTTTCCAAGAGAAACCCCAAGGCTTGGGTGTCTCATCCCCAGAGGATGTCTTCTTGCTGAGGACAAAGGATAGGAAGAGCCCAGAGATCTACGCCCTCTTCAGCACTGTCAGGTGGGTGGTCCAGCCCCATTCTCTGGGGACATCCAGCTGCAGCCAGTCATGACCTGCCCCATCACCATCACCGTGTGGCTGCTGACTGTTCCCCACCCTTCACTTGCTCTGCCCTGGGCTGTATGGAGACACTGGTACTCCCATGCCCCCCACTGATGCTGCCAGTGCTGAGTGTGGCTCTGCTCACCTCATTCCCTGTCCTCTTTCAGCCATGTCTTCCAGGGCTCTGCCGTTTGTGTGTACCGCATGGCTGACATCCGGGAGGTCTTCAATGGTCCCTTTGCCCACCGGGAGAGCCCCCTCCACCAGTGGGGCCCCTACGAAGGCAGGGTGCCCTACCCACGGCCAGGCGTGGTGAGCAACTGCCTGGATCTCCAGGTCCCCTGAGCTCCTCCCATTGCTCTTCCAGGGGGAGTGATGGGGTAAGAAACCTTTGGGATGGGCTTCCTATGGGATCCACCCTGAGATTTCTGGGGAACAAGGTCTGGCAAAGGGCTGGAGAAGATGGATCCCAAACTGCAAGGCAGGGAAGGACCTAAACCATCTCTGCAGAGCGATGGAGGGAGACAGAGGAATGGGTGCTGGAGTAGCTGGGCTGATGGTCTCCTCCTGCCCTCACAGTGTCCCAGCAAGACGACCAACCAGCCCCGGAGGCAGTACAGCACCACCAAGGACTTCCCCGATGAGGTGCTGCACTTTGCCCGCGCTCACCCCCTCATGTACAAGCCCGTGTACCCCCGGCACCACCGGCCCCTCCTAGTGAAGACCGACCTTCCCCATCGCCTGCGCCAGCTCGTGGTGGATCGGGTGGAGGCTGAGGATGGGCAGCATGATGTCCTCTTCCTTGGGACTGGTGAGGGGCAGGAGCAGCATGCAGGAAGGAGCCCGGGTGCTGGGGATACCAGTGGGCACAGCACTGGGGAGCTCACACCTCCATCCTCCTCCTCCCCACAGACGCTGGCTCAGTGCTGAAGGTGGTGGTCTCACAGAAGACAAGCTCGGCCATGGCTGAGGAAGTCATCCTGGAGGAGCTGCAGGTTTTTAAGGTGCCATTTTTCTGCCCTGCATACAAGGGAGGGTGCAGCAGGGTAGGCTCTGTCTGGGGACACATTTGGGGATGGAGACTCTGGGCTGTCACCACACTGTTGGGCACGGGAAGGTCTCAGAGCTCTGAGGGCAGAGAATGGCTGGGGGTGCTTTCACCCTCCCAAAAAACATTCCTGGTGCCTCCCCAAAGCTCTGGCAGCTCTGAATGAGCTGAGCTCTCCATGGTGAGGTTTTCCCCAGCCTCACGCTTGCTTGCCTCTCCTGCAGGTGCCTGTGCCCATCACTCAGATGGAGATCTCTGTCAAGCGTGTGAGTACGGACACAGCTCGTGCACAGGCCTGGGGACAGGGCAGGTGACCAGGAGGGGCTGAGCTGCTGTCATCAGCCTCCCAAAGCCTGCGAGGGGGTGTGGGGAGGGTTGGGTCCTGGCAGGGGACACTGGGCACCATGCCTGCAGGGGCTGCCAGCATCCCCACCTTGGTGCTGTTCCCTCAGCAAACACTCTTTGTGGGCTCCAGCCTGGCGGTGGCCCAGGTACGGCTGCACCGGTGTGAGACCTACGGCACAGCCTGTGCCGAGTGCTGCCTGGCCAGGGACCCCTACTGCGCCTGGGACGGCACCGCCTGCACCCAGTACCCGCCCCCCAGCAAGCGCCGCTATCGCCGCCAGGACGTCCACCATGGCAACCCTGTCCACCAGCGTTCCACCCTGAGATTTCTGGGGAACAAGGTCTGGCAAAGGGCTGGAGAAGATGGATCCCAAACTGCAAGGCAGGGAAGGACCTAAACCATCTCTGCAGAGCGATGGAGGGAGACAGAGGAATGGGTGCTGGAGTAGCTGGGCTGATGGTCTCCTCCTGCCCTCACAGTGTCCCAGCAAGACGACCAACCAGCCCCGGAGGCAGTACAGCACCACCAAGGACTTCCCCGATGAGGTGCTGCACTTTGCCCGCGCTCACCCCCTCATGTACAAGCCCGTGTACCCCCGGCACCACCGGCCCCTCCTAGTGAAGACCGACCTTCCCCATCGCCTGCGCCAGCTCGTGGTGGATCGGGTGGAGGCTGAGGATGGGCAGCATGATGTCCTCTTCCTTGGGACTGGTGAGGGGCAGGAGCAGCATGCAGGAAGGAGCCCGGGTGCTGGGGATACCAGTGGGCACAGCACTGGGGAGCTCACACCTCCATCCTCCTCCTCCCCACAGACGCTGGCTCAGTGCTGAAGGTGGTGGTCTCACAGAAGACAAGCTCGGCCATGGCTGAGGAAGTCATCCTGGAGGAGCTGCAGGTTTTTAAGGTGCCATTTTTCTGCCCTGCATACAAGGGAGGGTGCAGCAGGGTAGGCTCTGTCTGGGGACACATTTGGGGATGGAGACTCTGGGCTGTCACCACACTGTTGGGCACGGGAAGGTCTCAGAGCTCTGAGGGTAGAGAATGGCTGGGGGTGCTTTCACCCTCCCAAAAAACATTCCTGGTGCCTCCCCAAAGCTCTGGCAGCTCTGAATGAGCTGAGCTCTCCATGGTGAGGTTTTCCCCAGCCTCACGCTCGCTTGCCTCTCCTGCAGGTGCCTGTGCCCATCACTCAGATGGAGATCTCTGTCAAGCGTGTGAGTACGGACACAGCTCGTGCACAGGCCTGGGGACAGGGCAGGTGACCAGGAGGGGCTGAGCTGCTGTCATCAGCCTCCCAAAGCCTGCGAGGGGGGGTGGGGAGGGTTGGGTCCTGGCTGGGGACACTGGGCACCATGCCTGCAGGGGCTGCCAGCATCCCCACCTTGGTGCTGTTCCCTCAGCAAACACTCTTTGTGGGCTCCAGCCTGGCGGTGGCCCAGGTACGGCTGGCCACGCGGGGGTCTTTGTGGGCTCCAGCCTGGCGGTGGCCCAGGTACGGCTGCACCGGTGTGAGACCTACGGCACAGCCTGTGCCGAGTGCTGCCTGGCCAGGGACCCCTACTGCGCCTGGGACGGCACCGCCTGCACCCAGTACCCGCCCCCCAGCAAGCGCCGCTATCGCCGCCAGGACGTCCACCATGGCAACCCTGTCCACCAGTGTCTGGACCAGAACCTGACTGGTGAGAGACTGGGGAAGGTGCTGAGGGGGCTTCCATTCCCCATCCACAGAGGGGCTTGCAGCCATCCCAGGTGGGCTGGGGAACCCTGATCTGCTTGTCCCACAGACCCAAGGTGGCCCAAGAGAAGGCAGGTGCTGCTGGGGCTTGGGTCTGTCCCTGGAGAGGGGGGGACTGAAGCCACACCATGGCCGGGTGGGGCTGACACCCAGCTGTGTGGAAGCTTGGCTCTGCCCTCCCTGTCAGCCCATGTCTGTCTTCACCCCAGTGGATGATTTTGAGAACGTTGAGGAGAAAGTGCTGTACGGGGCAGAGGACAACAGCACCTTCCTGGAGTGCACGCCCCGCTCCCCACAGGCCAGCGTGCAGTGGTTTGTCCAGAGGCCCCCTGACGAGCAGCGGGATGAGGTGAGCCCTCCCTGTTCCCGCCTTCCTCCCCGGGAGGGATGTGGGGGCTGGACCCAGACCCCCCCACAAACCTGATGGTGGCCAACAGGTGAAGACGGATGAGCGGGTCCTGCAGACGGAGCAAGGGCTGCTCTTCCGCAGGCTGCACCCCCGCGACGCTGGGACCTACTACTGCAAGACGCTGGAGCACGGCTTCACCCAGACCGTGGCCAAGACAGCCCTGAGGGTGGTCACCAGGGAGCAGCTGGCACACCACCTCCCCAAGGGGCGAGGGGAGGAGCCCCCACGCCTGCCTTGCCCCGAGCCCCGGCTGG